GCTTTTTATGTCTCAAAGCCTAGCGATTTCTTTTGTAATACGTTTTCATTAGGCATTGCACAATTATATGTTTATTTAACGTCATCATTATCATTATTTATCTTGTTTATTTTCCTTTGGTTGTTGAGTTAATAAAGATCATAAATAACCGATAAACAAACCTTCTATCGAGTCACGATGGGGTTAAGAGGTGCTTTGTTCGCTCTTACCTTTCTTAGTTTATATCTTCTACTATTTCATCATTCATATGAAGAWAGTGATTCCTTAGGATACCAGATACCGTTGAGGGGTGAAATATCCTCGATATCAGTGAAGGGAAGGCAATTTGGCCAAGAAATATTGTCGAAGCTCACTCCTTATGGATCTATCCCATCGAGAGCTGTGTTCAGAAAACTGAGAAGACCGAGTCTGGTGACTGTTCCTATGAATAAGTACTTATTCGTTTTATTTCTTTTAATTTCCAATGATATACAATTTAATCCTGGTCCAGTCAACAAGAAGAAGTGCACTATTTGTGAGAAAACTATAAGAAGGAATTAACAAGATATTGGATGTGATRGCTGCCTGCAGAAGTTCCACTTGAAATGTGCGACTTTAAGTTATACTGGTCGAAAGAAAAATCCCAAGCCAGTGGAATGGAGGTGTTTTAACTGCGTATTTCCTTTTAGTGATTCTTTCATGGAGGAAATTGTACAAGATTCTTCTACAATTAATATTCATAACCAAGAAGTACAATACTCAAATTCATCTCAAGATTCATTTGTAGACTCCCAACCTCGCATCATCACCTCTAGACAAAAGGATAGTCGCGGCCTTCTGATCCTGCATTTAAATGTGAACAGCTTGCAAAATAAATTTGAAGAACTGGAAACTCTAATTCAACATGATTTTCGAGCGCAAGTAGCATTGTTGACAGAAACCAAAATAGACTCTTCGTATCCCAACAGCCAGTTTCAAATAGAAGGATATAATATGTATCGCAACGACCGAACCAAAGGAGGCGGAGGGATTATGGCTTACTTTTCTTCTAATTTACCATCAAAGAAATTAAAACTACCAAGAAAATTCAACACAATTGAATCTCTTGCAATCGAATCTAAGTTTGGCAGTCATGATGTGGTTGTGCTGTTAATATACAGACCTCCAAAGGCGTCTGGCCAAGACTAYTACCTTCGACTGGAAAAAGAACTTCACGATATTGTTACATGGGCGTCCCTTCAGAAGCAGTTTATTGTCATTACTGGCGATCTGAACCTGGACCGACTAAGACCAAACACTCGGGAAGGAAATATTCTGTGTGATTTGGAAGATGTATTGGGACTCACCTCATTAATAAATCAAAACAAAGGTGTCGTGGTAGTATAATCTTTTCACCGTTCTCATTACGGTGAAAAGATTATACTACCACGACACCTTTGTTTTAACTTTTATATCACCAACGCAGTCTAAACTAGTTCTAATACTAGTCGTCATCT